TTCTATGCATTTTTTTTTTTAGAAATATTTCTTCGAGTTTTTGTGGGTTGGACATATTGATTGATATCTTGAATATAGGTTTCTGAATATTTGGGTTGGGCATATCTTTGTTTCAAATTACAAAAGAAAAGGGAAAAAAAGAGGTTTTTTGTGATCTCTTATGAGCATTGATTTATATTTGCTTGTTCTGGTGGTGTAGTCCATAAATATATATCACAATAAATAACATGCTTTACTACTTGGATCAATTTATATGCTTGTTAATCAGTTGCGGGTAGATGAAAACTTGAAGGATCTTAACTCAAGCTATCATGTTCGTGAGTCTAAATTTTTGGGGATTGAATTTGATGAAAATTTTCTGGGTTTGATATGGATAATGTCGCAAAGCGTAGTAGCACGAGTGTGAACTGTATAATTTTTATATATTTCGTATGATCTTGTAATCCATTCAAAATGCAGTGAGTGCTTACTTACAAGTTACATCCAGTTTGATATTTATAGTAAATTGGTAATTGTAGAGATTAAATGTGCAGCACATTGGTTTATCTTGTTCGGGACTTCATTTGAGGTGTTTATGTCTTAATTTTGAAGAACATATGAATGCCTTGTTTTTTTTTAGATCCTTTTTCACTTTCATATGTTCATAATCTGATGAAAATGCATAAAATGGACAGGGCCAAATCTGAATGGACTGTTTGGAAGGCAATCGGGAATTACGCCTGGGTATTCTTACTCTGCTGCAAACAAAAACATGGCCGTCAATTGGGAAGAAAAGACACTGTACGATTACCTGCTCAACCCCAAGAAGGTACAATTTTTTCATTTGATTTGGATATTTATTGAATTCCTTTTTGTCTTCATTGGGTTTAGATCTGAATTTCATTCTCCACTTAGGATTAGGAACACTCATGATATACATTCCTCTAAAAGAGTCGTATTTCGTATTGCTTGCTTCATTGTTTGCTGCTTTTTCTAACCGTTTTGGCGAAAGACGATATGAGGACAAAAGAACAGAAAACAAAAGAAAAAAAAAAGAATACAAATAAAAAGAAAAATGAACTTTGAATTCTATCAATTTCAGATTCTTCATGGCCAACAGGCACTTTGAGACTCTGCATGGCCTACAGGCTGAGTTATTTCCTCTGTTCACCAACTTTGCATCTTACTTGGGATAATTATTCTCGTCTGATGGAGATGATTAATTTTGTGTGGATTACAGAGCATATAAGGTCTTATTCAGGATCAATTTAGCATTGAGTTCAATTCAAGAAAGCTGAATTGATGTGGAAAATTAAATTCTGTGCCTTATTCAAGCTTCGACTGTTTAGCAACTTCTTATCCTGTAATTTTCTCTTGTATGCAGTATATACCTGGAACAAAGATGGTTTTCCCAGGACTGAAGAAGCCACAAGAACGTTCGGACCTTATTGCATACTTAAAGGAGTCTACAGCAAACTGAGAGTGCCACATTTTAGTTTGCTTCTGATTATTCGTTTTGCAGTTGAGACTTGAGAGCAACAATTACTTGTACGAGAAGTAGATTTTTTTAAAAAAGGAAAATAAATAGAACTAAAAACCTAGTAAAGTGTAATAAATTATTGGGACGAGTATGTGTTGACATGCCAATATCGTTTTTTACTCTTGAGCCTTGAGAGACTATTCTTGTTTAATGAATGGAAATAAGTTGAAGTTGTTGATCTTGTGTTGAATTTTTTTTGCATGAAAATTTAAGTTTGTATCTGAATTCTTTACATTGTTAAACTCCAAAAATAAAGATTATTGGTATATATTTACAAAGAAAGACAATAATATAATAATTTTATTATAAAATTATTTATTTCTCTTATTATCATGTATCTTTATACGAAAATAGTGTATATTATTAATTTTTAGAAAACAATTATCAAGTTCTACAATTAATTCAATGATTCTTGAGTGCCAGTTCTGAACTTCACACACATAGTTACATTTAATAATTTAAAAAAAAAAAAACAAAAACAAAATAAAAAGAAGCACGAAGCTCTTGGATCATATTTTGGTATTTCTTCAAGTTATTACAGTAACTGAAAGTTACTACATCTGAGAACATCTAACTAGAAGTTTGTCTGCAGTAGTGTGAATTACACTCACATGCTATTCATATTGCGAGTGAAAAAGTCGATACAGATTTCGTACAATAAATCTGCTTTAACTGGCAATTCTCCTTTATTCAGTGCACAAGATTTCGACGGGACCAAGTGTGAATTCCTGGTATCTGCCAAAGGAAATAAAAAAGATACAAGAATATGAAAAGTTTCTGAAGCGGATTTCTCTCAACACATTAACGAGCAATGAATGGTACAGTATACAGCATATAAGAACCCGAGAGCCAATCAGCATGATTATTTATCGTAATGCACGAATACTTAAGTAGATCAAGTAACATTTTTGCATAAAATGAAATTTCGAAAAACTAACCTCGACTCCATGAGGACCTATTCGATTTCGTGATATAAAGTTGAGAATAAGATCTGCGAATTCATCGGGCACATCCTCCTGTAATTTAAATTGAGCCAATATACGTACAGTTTGGAATATCAGTTGGGCCATAAATTCGTTTTCTCACAAAAATGAAAAGAAAATTCTAAAGCACACCTGTATGGCATGGCCCGTATGTCTAACAACTACCATCTGGAACTTTCCTTGCATTTGACCTATTGTGAGAGCCCTGTAATGATGTAAAAGAAGTTTCAAACTGTGTCTTATTAAGAATTATAAGAATACCGAAATTGGATTTACTCGTTAATAATAAATCCAAAGGAGGAACCTGTCCAGTCTATCTGTGCCTGCCAACAGCAAGAGCTTTGGTACCGGACTTGACAAGTATTTGTCCGAAAGGCCCTCATACCTGAAACAAATAGTTCATATTCAACATAATTTTAAAGTGCATGAAATTAATGCATTGAATTTCGAGTAGATAATTTCCAAATCCACAAGTGGTAAGCTATCAGATAATGGAGAATGAGTCATACCAGCCTCTCCAGTATTGCTCGGTTTTTTCCAGTCTAGCTCGGTGAGTGTAACTGCAGTTCCAGTGTGAGTTACACACACAAATTCGGTTAAATAAAAGGATTCTCATATAAAACGAGGATTTCAAGAGGAAGCAACTGAGGCTAGTTCACTCACCACTTTCTTGACTCGTCATATACTAGTGTGCTGGGAATAGAGACACGTGCAGATTCAATGTTTCTCAAAGAGCCTCCTTTCACGCTCCATTCAATCTAACAAAAAAAATATTGACAGATCACAACATGAGATATCGAAGTTTTTTTTTTTTTTTTTACTATTATTATTATTATTATTATTATTGACTCCCATATAGCCACAGGCCCACAAGAAGTTGCTTGCTAAAAAAGTTTATTTTTAGCAATAATAACTCCCATAGTAAAATTAATTGGGAAGATGGCGAGCTTCATTTTATCGGAGGAGGAACAACATGAAGTAAAATTAGGTACGGGAGACGTTTTAAATAGTGAAGAAGAATGCACAAAAGCCTTTTCTGTAAGGTTTTTGGGGAAAAGAAAAGTCAATTTCTCTGGCTTGAAGAACACGATGAATAATATCTGGCCAATAAAGGAAGGTTTCACAATGAGGGAGTTGGGTTTTAATTGCTATCAATTCGTTTTTCACTCAGTTCAGGAAAAAGAAAAAGTTCTCCAAGGTAATATGTGGACTTTTGATAACCAATACATGATCTTGAAGAACTGGGAGGAAGGGATTTGTCGGAAAGTTGAAGTCTTTCATTGCCTAGAAATGTGGATTCAGATATGGAATGTTCCGGTTAACTGGATGCCGGTCGGAGCTGGATTCAAAATAGGAAGTGTTTTTGAAAAAGTCCAGGACGTCTATATCCCAGATTCAGGAAGCATCAAAGGCAGGCACATGAAAATTAAAGCGCTGGTTAATTTGGAGAAGCCTTTAATCAGAGGAACTAAAGTCTCTTTGAATGGGAAAGCTCATTGGGTAGAATTTAAATACGAAAACCTCATCGGCTACTGTTTTTACTGTGGCAAGGTCGGCCATATTGAAAGGAAGTGTCTCAACAGGCAGGAGGATGTGGACAACGGTAAGCTGCAGGAAGGTCAGTATGGTGAATGGCTCAAAGCCCCCAATTTCTCTGGAGAGGGGTTTACTAAATCCTACCAGAAATCACCGGAAAGAAGGAGTGGTAGCCATAATGGAGAAATAATGGTGTTTCAGGGTAGGCAAAATGAGAAAGGTAATGGGGACTCAGAAAAAGAAGCAACTTCAGAAGACTCTTACTCAGCCGAAAATGCTAAGTCCACAGATCTTGCCGATGACAAAGAAACTCCTATTGAAGAACATGGGGAAAGAGTGGCAGAAAAGAAGGAAGATGAGCCGGCAACTGATGTCAATATGGAAGATTGGTTTGGCGCCAGAAACCAGACAGGACAATCGGAGGTTTTGGTCAAGAGCGACAAAAAGGAGAAAACAGAAGTAACAATCTCGAGAGCTGAAATTCACCTCAATACATAGAAGGTAAATTAAAAGCAGCTCAGAAAAAACAAAAATGGAGCAAAATCCGAGACACCAGATCTCACTCAATGGAGGATGGAACTGTGCTGATCGATTTGGGCATTAAAAGGAAATTTGGTGATTTGGAACCAACAAACTTAGAAAGTCAAGAAGGTCAAAAGAAACTTAAAGGTCTTTTGAATGCTGAAGAGAGAATGACAGAACCGGAGGTGGTGGGTGCCAACCTTAATTGGGCCCCAGTTTCCAAATGAAGCTAATGGGTGGAATTGTAGAGGATTGGGAGGATCCTTTACAATTTCCCAACTCAAGGAGATCATTAAACTCCACCTCCCAGACTTAGTTTTCCTTAGTGAAACAAAAAAAAAGTTCTTTTGTTAATACAGTAGCTAAGAATATTAAACTTTTGAAAGGGTGGTATTGTAAGGATCCTGTGGGTAGGAAAGGTGGGCTTTTTGTTGGCTGGGGCACTAGTGTCACTGTACATAACTGTTTTTGGACTGATTTCTGTGTGGAATTGAAGTTTAGCTTGGCAGGATGTGATGTGAAGTTGTGGGCAATTTTTGTTTATGCGAGTACAGATGCCAATGCAAGGAAAGATCAATGGGATTTCCTGTTAAAGGCCAAACCAAAGTGGGGGATTCATTGGTGGTTAGGAGGAGACTTTAATGACATAGTTGGTCATGGAGAAAAGCAAGGAGGAAGGGCTAGAACCGAGAGGAGTTTTGAAGGCTATCCCTTCACTTGGGCAAACAACAGGAGGGGGGAAGGATTTGTAGAGGAGAGGATTGATAGGTGCTTTGGGTCCCCTCAATGGATCCTAAAATTCTCTGAAGCTGAAGTTCTCCACATACCTAGACAATCCTCAGATCACAGCATGATTATCTGGAATTCCAACCCAGAAAAAAGAAGAATGAAAAAGAGGTTTATCTTTGATCAGAGATGGACAAAGAAGGAGAGTTTTAAAGAAATCATTGCAGCTGGGACACTCCTGTCCAAGGGACTCCTTTAATCAGAATCCAGAGAAAGATAACTAATTGCAGAATGGCCTTACTCAAATGGCAAAAGAAGGAAACTACTAATTCTGCAAAAACAATAACCTTCTGCACATCCAGAATGGAGGACTTAATGAAGCTGGGGGGGAAGAAAAATTGGAAATCCTGGGCAGAATTGAACATGAAACTTAAGCAAGCTTACAAGGCAGAAGAGAACTTCTGGAAACAGAAATCAAGGGTGCAATGGTTAAAAGAAGGAGATAGGAACTGAAAATACTTTCATGCATGCACTTTGCAAAAGAGAAGAACTAATGCTATTGAAAAACTTATAAATGATTCCTCTGGCAGAGAATGCAACACCAAAGAAGAGGTGCTTGATGAAACTGTGGACTGGTATTCAAAGCTCTTCGGTTCTAATCAGACTGTGGCTATAGATCAATTCTTGAAGGCTTACCTAAATCCATCACTTCTTGTCAGAACAAGGAACTCAAAAAACCAGTGACTATGGAAGAGGTTCAGAAGGCCCTTTTTGAGCTGAATCCTAACAAGGCGCCTGGTATCGATGGTATGTCCTCCTTGTTCTTTCAATTCTCTTGGGAAAAAATTAAATTTTGCATCTTTGAAGCTGTCTCTGATTTTTTCTGCTGTGCTAAAATCCCTAAGTGTGTGAATCATACCTTGATAACTCTGATCCCAAAAATTAAAAATCCCACTAAAATTGCCCACTACAGATCCATTAGTCTTTTGAATGTTGCTTATAAGTTAATATCCAAGATTTTGGCTAGTAGACTTAAAGCTGTTATCTCCTCTTGTATTAGCCTTAACCAATCAGCTTTTATTCCGGGTAGGCAAGTTCTTGATAATGCAGTGATTGCCCATGAATACCTACACTTTTTGAAAAATCTCAGAAAAGGAAAAAAAAAAAAAAAAGTTTTGTGGCCATAAAGCTTGACATGGCCAAAGCTTTTGATAGAGTGGAGTGGAATTTTTGGTTTCTGTCATGGCTAAGCTGGGTTTAGATGGTAAATTTATCCACTGGATTTATAGCTGTATCAGTTATGTCAATTTCTCCTTTAACCAAGGAGGAGAAGCTTGTGGTTTTGTAAACTCGTCCAGAGGAATAAGACAAGGCGATCCTATCTCTCCGTATCTCTTTATTTATTTCCGAGGCCTTGTCTAATCTTCTGAATCAAGCAATTTCCAGGAAAAAGATCCAAGGAATCAGAATATGCAGAAAAGGCCCTGAGATCTCACACTTGTTTTTTGCTGACGATGCTTTATTGTTCTGTGACACCTCTTCAAACTCAATTCAGTGTATGCTGCAGATACTTAATGAATACTGTGAGGCTTCGGGGCAGCAGGTGAATTTTAAAAAATCATCCTGCTTCTTTAGCAAGAATTGTGAACCAGCAAAAAGAGAAGTTCTTGGGGGTATGCAAGAACAGAAGAAAGGAAAATACCTTGGCTTACCAATGGTGATTGGGAGATAAAAAAGGGAGGTATTTCAGTTTGTTGAAGAAGTCACCCACTCAAAAATCATGAATTGGAAAGGGAAATTTTTAAGTGCTGCTGGAAGAGAGACTATGATCAAATCAGTTATTAATGCCTTACCTGTGTATATCATGTCCTGCTACAAACTCCCAAAAGTGGTGAGTGATAACATTAACAGTAAAGCCAGAAGTTTCTGGTGGGGTGAAGGGGCAGAGGAAGGTTCTAAAAAAGCGGCTTGGGTCAGCTGGAATAAGATGTGTGCTGCTAAACATCAGGGAGGAATGGGTTTTAGGAATCTGGAAGCCTTTAATAAGGCTCTCTTGGCTAAATAGTTATGGAGACTAATTACCAACTTATTGATGAGCAAAACATTGAAAGCAAAATACTTTCCTTCTGGAGATATCTTGAATGCTAAAGTAAAGTCTAATGATTCTTGGGTTTGGAAGAGCTGGGTTAAAGCCAGAGATGCTCTGTCTTTTGGTCTTCGACTGAAGGTTGGTGATGGTAAAAACATTAGAATCTGGGAGGCACCTTGTGTACCAAACTTAGAAAATTTTAGACCCAAAGGAAGAAATGGCAGGAATTCTGAAGTGGAGTGGGTCAGTGACTTGATGCTGCTGAATAAAAGAGAATGGAATGCAGATCTTCTCCATCAAATATTCTCTGATATAGAGGCCACTGAAATTCTTAAAATCCCTTTAAATGCAGCTGACAACAGAGACAAATTCATATGGGTTGGGGAAAAAAGTGGCCACTTCTCTGTCAAATCATGTTACAATCTTATTCTGGAAAAAAAAAAGAGGTTGGAGAAGGTCATTCCAGAGACTAGCAAAGGAGCAGCCATCCTGAAAAAATTGTGGTCATCTACTTGGAAGTTGCAGGTGAAACCAAAACTCAAAGTTTTCCTTTGGAGATGCATTCACAACTCCCTCCCTGTGGCTGAAAAGCTGAATGCCAAAGGTATCATATCCTCTCATGTGTGTTGTTTCTGTGGAGAAAAAGCTGAAAATCAAATCCATATTTTCTTTGATTGTGAGAGGGCAGAGAAAGTACGGAAATTATCTCCAGTGCATTGGGATAACTCTCAGATTAGAAAGGATGCTTTCTGTGGTTGGTGGTCAGATATTTGCAATGCTAAGCAAGGTAATTGTTGGGAAGATAGGATGGAACTCTCTGTGTACATTTTATGGTGGCTATGGCGGACAAGAAACATCTGGCTTTTTGAAAAATCTCATATTTCTGAAAAGGATCTTATTGATAAACTAAGGAAGAATGGCTCGAGTTCAAAAATTTACATTCATCAGATAGTCTTTTGTCTGTTAGTTCTGGGATAAATGATAACACAGTAGGGAAAATTTGATTTTTGTCAGTGCTTGTGTAGTTCCTGTGGAGTTGGAGGTATTGCTGTGGGGGCTAATTCAGAGATTCTCAGGGTATGGCAGGCTAACATTCCTTCTTGTGTGGATCTAGATGAAGCTGTTAATCTTGGCATTCAACAGGCCCTCTGGAAAGCCTTTGTTATGAATTGGAGGAACATTGAAATCTTGATTGATGATGAGGTTATGGTCATGCATCTTAATTTGGATCGGAACTTCTGTGCTACATTGAAGCCTATAACCGAAGACATCTATAAGTTAGCTTCTCTTTTTGTTAACTGTTCTTTTGCTTATTCTGTTAGCCCCCGTTTGGATAGTTGTAATAGCCTTGCTTTAGACTCGGCTCTGTCTGCTTGTAGCCATGATTGGCTCAATTCTTTTCCAAGTTGGATCTAATCGCTAGATATAGCTTGGTGTTCTTGTGAGCAGTGGATCGCCGCATTGTAATGACTTTGTTTTTAATTTTTGAGTTTAATAGATTCTATCGTTTGGAA